GGTGTGTAGCTACTCTAGTATCTTATCTCATCAGAAGTTTCTGATCTGAACCCTGGTTCAGGGAAGCGTACATTAAATTTAAGCAGATTATTATTATAACCAAATTGTTTTTCTTTTTCTGTTTTTCTCATGTGGATTTCCACCTAACTGACATTTGTATATTTATTACATGAATAAACATATTGAGGGGCAATATGTGAAGGCATAGCTTGAACAGGCATCATAAAAAAACCTTGTTAAAATACTTGACAAGGGCAGCTTCATTGTTTTCCCCATGCACATTTGTTTTCTGCCGCCATCACTAGCAGCCATGACTGTTTCTCGTTGTTTGAGCAGACTACATACAGCAGGCTGAGAACGTTTCCCTGCTGTATCTTGTTGTCTCGTGTTTGGCAGTTTGTCATAAGCTTTGAGGAAACTACATTTCCCATTGAGAGTTAAAAAAGTCTTTTTCCTGCCATGATTTCAATGTGCACACAGCACCGGCCTCAGGCTAAGAACGGGTCAGTGACTGTTTATTTTGATTAAATATATTTGCCGTCATTACAAATACTTGTGTTTTGTGTGTCTCTGCAGCACCCCATCACCAGGTGGATTGCACGGACCTTCTATGATTCCCCAGTGAAGGACTATGAAAAGATGATGGCTGCGATCCAAATAGAGAAAGAAAAGGCAGACATGAGGTGAGTTTTTTCCCCCATCACATGTGAAGGACAGAAAGCAAAGGGGCATCAAGACCTTTTTGAATGTTCTGAAACTTAATCAATGACAAAGAAAAAAAAGAGGATCTTATTAAAGTTGGCAGCACAAGTTGTCAAAGTTACACATCAGGAGCCAACCAAGCACTGGTTTTGCATTTTGTGCACTACATCTAGTAGTTTGCGGTGGTTATTGTTTGTCAGGAGGTCTGCCAGCAATTTTACTCTGCACTAAACTAAAGGTGTTAAGGAGGAAGTTTTATCTGTGGAGGAAATTTTGCCACAGGAATGAGTCTTAAAACCTGGATATGAGTTCTCAAAGTTAATGTGTTTTGTGTTTTTTGGGTGGTTAGATGTCTAAAATAAAGTCTGTGGTTAATACAAGCTGAAGAGACTTTCACAATTTTTTTCTTTGTTCGACAACATAAAATACGTCAGTAAATACCCCACTCGTGAACTTTAAAGCTTCTCTGTGTTGTAGGCGGTCGCTAACAAGAGACTCAATCAGACTACAGAGCATCATCGTGCCTATCCACGCCTAACATGTCTCTGTCGTCTTGTTTTGGTGCTGACGTTTGTTCATGCAATTGAGTGTAGTTCGTTTATAGCCTAACGTTAGCTTTTTACTTACTAGTATGATTCAAAAATTACAAAAGTGGCATTCATTTGCTGAACAAAATGTCTAAGTATCAGAATGTTTGTTTGCCACAGAGCTTATTTTCTGCAATTATCCAAAATCCAAGTAAGAAATCCCATTGGCTTTTTGACAAGGGAGCCAGTGCAATGTCATTCTCGGAACCTTCCCTGATTTTTTGGCATTCCGGTTTGATTTGGGCGGAGGAGGCGAATTTCCGTTTCCGACTTCCGTTTATATTTAAGTAAATATGCTGAACCATTGCGATGGATTCAGAGTTGGCGGACTACAAACAGCCTTCAACCGGAAACTGGGGCTCTTCCGCTCTTCTTCCAGAGGCAGGATCTCCGGGGTTTGCCTACAGACTCTACATTCACTGAATGTAGAGTCTGTATATAGAGACTAGTGTGATGCTAACTTCCGCGTCGGCCAACAGAAAAACATCATCCCTGGGGCACTCTGTAGCCATTTGTTTAGTCATAAAACTGTGATTTTATTATTCCAGTGTTGAACAGTAATTCTGAATGTATCTTTCCAAACTGAAACGGATTGTTTGTTAGAGATTCAGTGTACAAGCAAAAAAAGAAAGTTTCAGTCTTCAGAAAAGAGACTCGTCATCATTTTCCTCTTCTCCTCACTTTCTAAAAAGGGAGTGAAAAGTGTTGTGGCACTATCCTGGGATTCACATCTCACTCTTATCAACAGCTGAAGCATGATTTCATGATTTCCCTGCCTGTTTGTAAACAGACTGATGCAGCTGGAGGTGCGTCGACAGATGAGGCAGAAGGGAGACGGCCCCTGGTTCCAAGTGGAGACCCTCAACAAGGAACTAATTGACAACAGCCCCAAGTCATCACCTGACAATTAATCCAGAAGTGTCCGCCATCTGTGCATCATGCCGATGAAGCTCACTGTTTGTACATTTTTTCCCTCCTTGCGTAAATAAAGTATATATGTACTCTAAGATATTGTCTTTATTGCCACAAACACTTTGCACCTGTTTGTCAATGCATACTCAGTCATGTACTCTACATAGAGATGCATGCATATGTGCATAGGTGCAGTCTATTTTTTGTTGTTTTTCATCCTGAATGTGATTTATCCATATGTTTGTTTTACCCCTGAGATATGGGCTGCAAATTAATGGACATTTATGGCATTTACTTAGTGCTTTTATAAACCCATGCAGGACGTTTAGCTTCATTTAGGTGCCCTAGATACTTTACATCTGTTGCATTCATCATACCTATGCGACACTGTTTGTCTGTACTGTAAAATAAACACAAGCAAATGTAAAGGTTTGACAAGATTACTCATTTAGATGTAGGATTTTAATAGCCTGCTCCAGTATCAAGTATTTGCCTCATAATGAACAGTTCACACGTGTTCACTCTCATCCAGAGGGAAGTTGGGTGGCCACACATTGGTCTGTCAAGAAGCACACCCTGCGTGGGATACAATATTGGCCACCCACCGCTTGTTCTGTTTATTGTATACTCACCTTTTGCCAAAAAGCCTTTGGAATATACAGGAGAGTGTACTCACTACCTGCTAGTACACCCACCTCATCAAATCAATATGAAATCATTTCAAGTTTACTCATATAGCACATTTAGAAATAACTGCAGTTGACCAAAGTGCTGTACAAAATAAAAGAATGACACATAAATATATAGCAATAAAAAATGTACACAATTATAAAACAGAATAACACTGGTAAGAAAAATTACATACGTAAAAAGATTATAAAATAGTAAAAACAAAAAACACATACACACACAAACAACCAAAGGCCGTTGAACGCATGTATGTTTTAAGATTTGTCTTAAGTGTCAATGGAGGGAGAGCGGAAGGCTATTCCAGAGCTTTGGAGCATCTACGGCAAAGGCACAACCTCCCTTACCCACCAGCCTCGATTGTAGGACAGTTAAAAGACAGTATTCGGAGGATCTATGAGGTCGGGAGTTGGAGCAGGGGCAGAGAAGTTTAGTAATATACTGAGGTGCCAGCTCATGTATGGCTTTAAAAACAAATAAAAGACCCTTACAATCAAACTGTATGACATCATGGCATGTTCTCCCCCACATTATCAACATAAAAGCAGGAGAGGACTTTTATTTTGACAACTTTAAAGACACTCCCACCTTAAACTGAAGCGGGAAAGGTACAAATATGAGCATTAACGCAGGAAATTAAGAGTTTGACACTCAGTATTTCCTGGGGTGGACTCCCTATCTTGTTTTATATAACCTATACAAGGGATGACTGAAAAGTTTTGAGCCTAACCCAGAAAATGGGTAACTCGGCAAGTTAAATGATATTTTTTATAATCTACCACCTTTCCTTATTATCATTAACCATGTTCATGTTTGGAACTATTTTTATTTTACTTTGCAAGTTCTTGAAATGAATAGTGGTAACTGATTTGTTGAAAATGGAGAAACTGAGATCCCAATGGGAGGATGATTTGGCTTCACAGATCACTATTGGCAGTCCACTCTTCAAAGAGTTCACTCCTCCTCAGTTTGTGCCAGACATGGCCTCCTACAGTTCAAGGTCTTGCACCGCCTTCATCTATCCAAAGAAAAGTTAGCCAAGATTTATCCAGGGGCAGATCCCTTATGCAACAGGTGTAGAACAGTAACAGGATCCCTCATTCATACTTTCTGTACTTGTCCAAATCTTAATAATTACTGGACATTGATATTTAATGTATTTTCTGTGGTAGGTATAAAAATGGACAATATGCGAATGTTTGTATTCCACTCTGGATATATTACAGTGGTTATGTTGTTGAAAATAAGGAAAATAAAATTAAAAAGAAAAAGAAAAAATTGGACTATTGTGCTGTGATCAAATATCTTTATCTCTTAATCGTGATAAATAGATTGAATTACTCAATTCTGCCTTTTACAGCCACCTTTATGGTGTGTTTGTGATTTATATTCTACATAAAATTTGACTTGATACTGTCTGTAGTGGTTGTAGTCAGTGGTAGTGTGTACTGGAAGTTTGTCTAGGGCTGCACTACTGTAAATTTATTATGCTGATCTGTTCTGTACGACATCAATTGCAGTTTCTACTGTTTTTTCCCCCATTTTTTGGGGGGGAGTTTTTCCTTATCCGCTGTGAGGGTCCCCCCCCCCGGCCCCCCAATGTTGAAATGAAATGTACGCCCTTGGCTAATATGCTTTGCACTTCATGAGAGTGTCCAGCAGGTGGCAGAGCTGTGCAGACAGGATGATTGTCGTCTGATGGACAAAGGACCTTTATTTATAAGATGCAGGATATTAACATTTTGTTGTGTCTCTTTTTAAGTGTGACTTCCACTATTTAGTTATTATAAATGCCAAATTTTACTGAGAAATGGAGGATTTTTTTAAAATAGTTGATAATTTTATCAACTAAAGCTACTGCAGATTAATACAGATTGATGGAGTGTTTTGTTGGGCTTGTAGGATATGTAAAGGAGCAGCAATTAAAATGAAAATGCACCTGATATGCATGCTTCTCCTCCATCCTGGAGAGGGAAACATGCTGTAGTAAGTGTGGGCGGCTTTATGAATCATCCTCAGAGGTGGGAGGGGCCCTTCTGGTAAAACATCCCCGTGCTGAAAGCGTCACCACAGTCAACACTAACAATGTAATATCTGCGCAGGTCAAATCTCTATGCAAGGAGGGGAAAAAATACAGCCAAAAGAACAACATTAGCCTCCTCCATGCTTTTAGCTCTGCCGCCAGTGTAGCAGCCAGCCAGCCTCCACCCCTCTGTCATTTTATTTTTATGTTTTTCAGCGTCACATCCCCCTGGCCGGAGGAATGTAGAGACGGAGTGCTTTAAAAATAGCATCCTCTCCTCTGACAGCGCTGCTCCGGTGGCTCCGCTGCACTGTGGTGCGAGAAGCAGGAATGCGAAGATGGCTGCAGACCTCGGAGAGCTGCTGGTCCCATACATGCCCACCATCAGAGTGCCCAGGACTGGAGACAGGGTTTTCAAGAGCGAGTGCGCCTTTTCCTTCGACTCTCCCGTAAGTGTCCACACGCACACACGCACACACTGAGACAGGAGACGGTTGTTTGTGGAGACAGAGGAGGGGGATCAGTGTGCGTCTCAGGCGGACTGACAGTCTGACTTGGCCGGGCTAAACAACACACGTGAACCCGCTGTAATGTGTGTGTGTGTGTGTGTGTGTGTGTGTGTGTGTGTGTGTGTGTGTGTGTGTGTGTGTCTCCATGGCCACCTTACCCTGTGAACCTGACAGAAATAAATAATTAAATGTTGTTTACATCAGAGGAGAGAGGTATGGAGGGGTTTCCCTTTGTGCAGGGAGAGGTAGACGGTGCAGCTCAGGTCACATTACCGCTCCGACCAATGGATACACGCGCTAAAACACACACCTGCCCTCAGCTGTGAATTAATTTCAAAAGCTTCAGCAGCCCTGTCAGGGTGGAGCTGTGCTGTATGATACAGCAGTTCTGTGTGTTAGAGAGTTTACAGCCACCTTTGTGGTGTTTTTAATTTATATTCTGCCTAAAATTTAACTTGAAACTGTCAGTAGTTTGTCAAGGACTGCACCATATGATGAGATACACAATAACGTTGCTGATATAGCAATAATGATATTAATTGCGATAAGTAAGACATTAAAGTACTAAATTCTGCCTTTTGCAGCCACCTTTATGGTGTTTTTAATTTATATTCTGCCCAAATTTTGACTTGAAACTGTCAGTAGTTTGTCAAGGGCTGCACGATATGAGGAGATATTCGACAACATTGCTGAATATCGCAATAACGATATTAATCGTGATAAATAAGACACTAGAGTACTCAATTCTGCCTTTTTAAAGCCACATTTTCTGGTGTTTTTAATTTATATTCCGTCTAAAATTTGACTTGAAATTGTCAGTAGTTTGTCTAGGGTTGCATGATATGAGGAGATACACAGTACCGTTGCTAAATATCTTGATAATGATATTAAGCACGATAAATAAGACATTAAAGTACTCAATTCTGCCTTTTAAATTCAAATTTTTGGTGTTTTAAATTTATATTCTGCCTAAAATATGACTTGACACTGTCAGTAGTTTGTCTAGGGCTGCACAATATGAGAAGATACTTGACAGTGTTGCTAAATATCACGATAACGATATTAATCGAAATAAATAAGACACTAGAGTACTCAATTCTGCCTTTTAAAGCCACATTTTTGGTGTTTTTAATTTATGGTCTGCCAAAAATTTGACTTAAAACTGTCAGTAGTTTGTCAAGGACTGCACAATATGATGAGATACGTGATAACATTGCAGAATATTGCGATAACAATATCAACCGCGATAAATAAGAGATTAAAGTATTCAATTTTGCCTTTTAAAGCCACATTTTTGGTGTTTTTTAATTTATATTCTGCCTAAAATTTGAATCGAAACTGTCAGTAGTTTGTCAAGGACTGCAGGATATGATGAGATACGTTGCTGAATATTGCGATAATGATATTAATCACGATAAATAACGTACAATAAGGTAAAGTACTCAGTTCTGTGTTTTTGCTGCTTTCAGCAGCCTATGCTGCTAAAATACAACAAATTCAAAGAAAAAAAAAGAAATGAAATTATTTCCAACATTTTTTATGGAACAAATTGAGCATTAAACACAAAAGGCACCAAAAAATAAACATAGGCTACAAATGAGGAAAAAAACTCTCTTTAAAGTTACTCCCAACGTCGTGCAACGTTTGTCTTTCGTGATGTGTTTAGCAAGTTGCGATACAGAAAAAACAAACATATTGTGCAGCCCTAATATTACGACAATATTTTCATCTTTATGCCTGTATGGTCACTACAGTGAGTTTATAGTGTTGTTTAGCCTTAATAGTCTACAGCAATCAATTTATGTTGTGACTTTCTGTAAAGATACTCAAATCTCAACATCATGCAATATTTTAGTCTTTTGCTATGCTGATTTTTTTTAAAAAATAAATACATATATATCATGCACCCCTAAATATTACTACAATATTTTCATCTTTATGCCTGTATGGTCACTACAGTGAATTTATAGTGATATTTTTTAATCTTAATTGTGCTGTTTAACCTTACGAGTCTACAGCAATCAATTCATGGTGTGATGTACAGTTAAATGTTTAAGACGCCTCCTGCTTCCAAAATTGTGTCCAATTGTGAGTTTACAATGACTAAGCAAAAACTCATGCTATCCCTGGTGGTACTGTGATACTGGTAGATTGACTTATAGTACGTTTGTAGCATGTTTTGATGTTACTGTGTCACTAGAGAGTTCATAGAAAATCTCATGACCCACATTGTGATGCACATTTATTTTGTATGTTTTCTGTTTCTTATGTGAATAAGGCATTAGTGATATTGCATCAAAACATCAAATATTTTGATTTTAACATTTTTTAAAAATGTGTGAATGTGAGAATGTACAGATTTGACACAGTTATAAAGACGTGACAGAAAGAAAGTCTGGGTTTTTGGCTCTCATCACTTTCTAGGCGACATACAACATAAAACCTATTTTCTCGACTGAAACCGTTTTTAAAGGTGACTCAGCTGTCTGGAGTTCATCATGTTGGCCCGAGGACTGGTTTATTTTTGTCCTTGCACTGTTGAAGCTCATATGTCACTCTGGGCCACTTAAAGGTTTTCACAGGGGTTTATAAGGCCCACACTGATTGCAGATTTAGGTTAGTTTTAAAAAGACTTATTCTTGATTGATTTTGCCTCTGACAGTTTACATGTGAAAGTGCGGGAGGTTGTTTGCTTCTGTCAGAAAAACTAAAACCCCCGGAGGAGGTCCTACTGTATTTGTATTTTAAAACACTTTAAATGTGAGCCGCTGGTCACATGCAGACAAAATGATCATACCTTTGTATCCTGTAACAAGTTTCAGATACAGTAAGTCAATCCAAAGTGTGAAACGCATGGGCCTCAGTCCACAGGCACTCATCAGCAGTTTTATGAGGAATAAGGTTACTGTGTTTTTAAACATGCAGGTGTTCAGCGAGGCACTACTTTGTCAATGAAATGAATTTTAATGTCACTGTATATAACAGGATGCTTGTATTCTTCAGTCTAAACAACAGCAGCAGCAGCAGCACAATTGATCTGTCAGATTGCTTGTATGAAACAAAACATCAGATATTAATGTTTAAAATAACTAAATAACATGTATAAGGTGTCTTTGACTCTGTGCGTTTACAGTAAGAAACAGGAATTTTCAGCAGCAGCCTTTTTCTCGATTAAAGTGAGATTTTTTTTTCTGTGCGAGAGTGCTGGAACAGATTTTTGGCTTGTTGACAAAGTGCGAGAAAAAGACTGTTTGAGCAAGAAAGCCCTTTTGAAAATGTGCTTGCAGAATCATTGACACATCTCTCCTACTTGCATTTCCGCTGTGCATGTTGTGTTACATTTTTGTGTGAGGTAGTGAGGCCAAAGTACAGCGCGCCACAATTTAGCTGATGCTAAATAGTTTTTGTCACGAAGTTCATCTGCTTTTACTGAACTGTTCTCGTCCACTTTAATAAAGCTAAAATTGTGCCTTTCATCTGAGTGTTAGATCCCATCTCCTCTGAAATTAGGCAATATAAAGATAGAGGACATCGATTCAGGAGGACCAAGAATATGGTTGGATAGGTTTCCTGTGTAAAGTGCACTTCTTGTTGTGTTGACGTGTTCATAGCTACTGTTTGTTTTGGTCTGCAGGAGTCAGAGGGAGGCCTGTATGTGTGTATGAACACATTCCTGGGCTTCGGACGGGAACATGTGGAGAGACATTATCGCAAAACAGGACAGAGCGTTTACATGCACCTCAAACGGCATGTCAAAGAGGTAAGTTTTACTCCTGTGGTGTATTTATAGTGTGTTACTGATTTTTAGTCCTCAAATGTTAAGCTTAGTGTAGTTTATTAGCATAAAGGAAGTGCTAAAAACAAAAATATACAACAACAAACACAGCATTGATTGTGCAGATGAGAGGTAAAAAAACCCAAAAGGCTTACAGCGAAACCTTCCCTCTAAGATTTACACTTTATCCTGATACTATGGATATTTGTTACCTTAACATAATGAAAAAGAGAACAAGTTAGGAGTAATAATAATAAAGATAATAAATAAAACAGAACCATTTTGAGCGCATTAACTATGGCAGTGGCTCATCTTAAACATGTACTGACAGCAAACTTTGTTTCAATGATGATGCAAATTTCTCCCAGCTACAGACAGATCTTGGTTGCATACAAATAATATTGAATTTGATCTGTTTTAGTTTGTAATCATTTATTTAATTCATACTTCATTCAATATTCATACATACATAGATTGAGAGTCTCATAACGTGGAAAAGTAGCAAGGTGGATTTCAGACATTGGTTATAATTTACTTTAACCTATATTTATAAGCAGCATATAGACATTTTTATTTTTTTATTTTTTTTTTAAATTTTGCCTTTACTGGACAGGACAGGTGGGCGTGAAAGGGAGAGAGAGAGGGGGGATGACATGCAGCAAAGGGCCACAGGCCAACTATAACTCCACCTGTGTGCACCCATAAGAGGAAGCTGATGTATAAACAGATAAAAATAATAATGTAGATATAAACATTGAAAAAATATGTTTTCATAGAGGTTGTAATAGTTGACAAATCAATTTTAGTACATTAATAAACACACAAAATGTCCTTAAAGATGCTTAGAACTACAGTATAGTGTGTTATGAACCATTAACTGCTTTTAAATGTCTAATAGGAGGCAGTCTCTATTGAAATAAGCACTATTTTACCACTGTTTGTATTTCAGTAAGCTGATCATGTCATTAACGCCGTCAGGATTACAGGCTAAACTCACACCATGATAACTGATGCTGCAGAGGTTTGCAGCACTGAAAGCAGTGTGAGATTAAAAGGTATACTGAGTGACCCTGATCGCTGATATCATGATGCTGTTGTTTGGAACATCAGTGGTTGAATTACATCGTCTGCCCTGCGTGTTCTTGAAGCTGAAATGCTCGGTCATCGACATTTAATTAAAGAAAGATGAAAATATGAACTTTTTCACTGGACCTGACTGACCTTCAGACCGAGGCCTGTCTGAGTGTTTGTGGCGAACACTTGATATGTTTTCAGCTCTGTGTCCGTCTGTATCCCCCATATCACATCTTTAACCTCTGACTGTTCTGTTTTCTGATAGTACTGTATGCTGTGGATTTTCCCAGAAAGAAAGTGGTAATTTGGTATTAATTATGTGGAGAGATAGTACTCATTTGATGCACTTCTATTTAATTGATTAACTATTAATTTCCAGTGAAACCTAGAGAGTCTTATAATAAACATGCAAAAATATGAAATTTGTAGACAGGCAAGCGTACAATTCAATATGTAGAGAGAATAAATATTCCAATAATAAATGACCTGGGTTTAAACTGACAATTCTCCCTGTAACTAGAACCACTTTACATCATGTTTTTCAAGAATCTTCCATAAAAAGTCCACAAATTTTTGGAAATTACACACCCATGACATAAAGTGTCACAGCCTTGTCAAAGTTACTTCTGAAATCCAAATAATAGCATCATACTGAATACACAACTGAAGGTTTTATATAACAGACGGATCATAATGCAATCCAAAACAACAACCCTGCAACAAATATTTTCATAGATTGTTAGATGTGTGAACCAGAGAGCCACTGGTTCAACTCTATGGTAACTTCTGAAGTTTGAAGTGGTGTTGCATTGGATTGCATTATACTGTAAGGTGTTTTTATTATTTTGTCCATCCCTGTGTATTTTAAAAAACACTCTTGCTTTTCTTTTGTGGTGAAAAAAAAAAGTCACACATGAACTCAAACAAGCCTCTCTTTTCAAAAGTCAGTGGTGAACAACAAAGGCCTGAGCTGCAGCCGTGTTTTCCTACTGGCTCTAATTGCCCTCAGATAAGCTCTGCTTTGTAAAGAGCTGCTATTTCCATGCCTGGATCTGGCCTGAAACAGCTGCTCACATTCTGCAGGCTCCTGTGTCTGCTGTTTTTTTTCCCATGAGTCCACTTGGTCGCGAGTGTGTCAGCATTCTCTGTCTTTTTCTCTGTCTGCCACACCGTGTCCTCCTTCTCCTCCCTGCTGAGTGAACGGGAAGCAGTCACCTGAACTGAATGCCATCTAGACCAATATTAAATAAATAAATCTATAAATAAATAAATGTAGAAATGGATAAATATGCCAATAAAATAAGTCCAGAAATTAATACATCTGGCATTAAATATATAAATAAATGGAAATGTATACATAAAAAGTAGTCAGTGTAGTTTAATAATTAAATAAATAAAAATAAATAAATATATTTAAAGCATTACTTTACTTTTTTCCATTACTTTTAAAGGACTACATATTTACTTCAGGGGACTTCTATTTCCTGAATCCATATTTATTTAGTTCAGGTGACTGTAGTCCTTTAAAATGTCCTTTATTAATTAAATCCCTTTTTTAAAATTTATTGAACTACACTGGCTTATTCGTATATTTATATTTACATTTTTTATATATATATTTGTCACTCATTTATTTATTTTAAATTTTATTTCATAGGCATATTTATTTATTTATTAATCTTGTTTTTTTCTACTTGATATTGACTTAAATGTTATTCCATACACCTGGACCAGATGGGATAAATAGGAAACCAGTCGGTGGCACTGGGTTGTTTTGCTGCCAGCCAGTCATTTGGCAGAAAAACAATTTTACCCAAGTGTTTTTTGTTTGTTGATTGATCCATGTATCAGGGCTGCAAACGTTATTGGCAGACTCAAAGTGTTTATCTACCAGTCTGTTAAAGTTAATTTTAGTTTCTTACCACTCTGGACATATGTCGTGGAGAAAAAGAGAAAGATGATTTCACACTCTGCAGGCAAAGACAGGCCCAAACACATGATGTAGTGTAAACTGTATCTGTCCAAGTCTACATATCAAACTGTGCAACTGAAGCGGTTTCATTCATCATTCTTTAATTTTGACCACACCGTGGAAGGGGTTTTCCCCTCGCCTTGTAACCCGACCTGGCAAGTGGAACATCCAGCATCCATTTCAAACAAAATGACAACCATCTGGACCTGCTGCTACAGCCCAGCATTAAAGTTTTTTTTTCCACAAAGAGAATCATCAGACGTGTTTTAATTTGACGAGGCTTCTTTGATCCAATTTAATCTCTTCCTTCCTGTTTCCCACAGAAAGCCACAGGAGCTGCAGGAGGTGCCATCCCCAGACGAAGAAATGGAAAAGTGTTTCTAGGTAAGTCAGAGGCAGTGGTGGAAGATGTACTCAGATCGTTTGTCACTATGTAAAAATACTCTGTCGCAAGTGACAATCCTGCATTCAGAGTATTAATTAAAGGGCCAGTGTGCAGGATTTATGGACATCTATTGGCAGACATGGGAGATAAAATGCACCACTATGTCTTCATTAGTTTATAATCACCTGAAAATAAAAATCATTGAATTTTTGTTACCTTAGAATGAACTGCTTTATATCCACATATGAGCGGATCCTCTTCCATGGAGTCTGCCATGTTGTTCTACAGTAGCCCAGAAGGGACGTGTCCAACACTGGCTCTAGATAGGGCCACTTGTGTTTTCACATTTTAGTGTTTTTGTGTTAATGTGTTGGTCCCCAAAGTTCTCCTACATGCCTGGCACACGGAAATAGTTTCAGTTCTGCAATCTCACCACTAGATGCCACTAAATCCTACACATTGGACCTTTAAATAAAACACATAAGTATTATGAGTAAAATGCACTCAAAGTATCAAAAGTAAAAGTACTCATTAGGCAGATAAATGTCCACTGTGACTGATATATTGTGATATATTACATTATTAGATTGTTACTACATTATTAGATTGTTAATACTGATGCATCGATGTGTAAGTAGCATTGTAATGTTGTAAATCTAAGGGGGTGTTGAATAAGTAACAGAGCCCAAAAGAAGTATTGGTGCATAAATTGTTACTCATTTTTTAAACTTTAATTGTCTATTTTTGTGGGTAAATACTGGAAAGTTTCAGGTTTTTGGGCCTCTTTAAAATTATTTAACCTAAACCATCTGAGTCGTTCAGATGAGAAACGTCCGCTTTGGTGGAACTGCTGAACATGTGAGAAGGTGCCTCAATGTAGACTATTAATCTTTATCGATGCATTGTATTTAAATGTAAAATTTTAATTTGAAATGTAAACATTAATTGTAGCTTTCAGATAAATGTAGTGGAGGAAACTGTACAGGAATGTAGTGGAGCAGAAGTATAAAGTAGCATAAAATAAACATACAAGCACCTCAAATTTTTAATGTAAACTCAGTCACTGTCCACTACTAGGTACAGGCTGGACTAAACCTGGCGTTTCGGTCGTGAAGTAAATGTGATTTGTTTGTTCAGAAACCTCGAACCTCTCGATTCTCAGAGAACCCCCTCTGTTACTAGCAGGTGTTATTGTTTGTTACACTGTGGTGACCCGTCAGCTGCCCCTCCAGCCGGCCTTTACCCAAAGCGTCAGATATTTCCCATGATGAGACTTCTCCTCCTCCTCCTGTGCTCCAAATATAGCCCATTTATTTGTATATGTGGTTGGTAACTGTTCTAAATCAAAGCCCGGTCTGCTCCCCTCCTCGGCGCAGGGAGGGGCTGGTGGTTCGTCGGCCCCTCAGCTGCCACCACCTGTCAACCTCCCTGACACACTTCCACTGAAGTTATGACGCTGCTCAGAGGGGACCAGGTGTCCCTCACCCTCCTCCTCCTCCTCCCTCGCGACTAGCCTGGTGGGGGAGGAATTCCTTCCACTCACCCTCTGTGTAATTGATGTTTCAGTTTCATTATTGTTCCGAGTTTAATAGACTTAACCATCCTTTGCCTTTTGATGGTGCTGTACATTAGGTCAACCCTCAGCGTCTGGCTGGCAGTCAGACGCTGCTTGCTGTCGTCCATTTTGGATCTTTGAGGTGATAGCGGGCATGTATGTATCCGCCATCATCTCCATACCAGTCCAGTGATCTAATCAAGCCTCTAGCTGGTAACGTCAGCCGTTACCATGAAGCCGGTGGGCACAATAACAATGACAGGGATAACCTATGATCCTGTTTCACATGAGTCATGACACGACTTTAGGCTGTGGAGTGGAGCACAGATGACTGAGTGATTTAAGAGAGGAGTCTCACCTCAGTTTGATATCATTTAGATGAGAAATGAAATGATTAGTTGATTAATGAGTTAGCTGATGGACAGAAAATATCTTCATTGTGAGGATTTAATGCCTCTCTTTGTCATAATTGATAGCAAACTAGGGCCGAAACTAATCATTTTCATCATTGATTAATCTGCAGACAGTTTTCTTGATTCATTGATTTATTGTTTGGTCGACAGAAATAATTGAAAATTGTGAAAAATATCCATTAAAGGCTCCGATAACCAAGAGTGATGTCTTTAAATGCCTGGTTTTGTAGGACAAGCAGTTAAAAAGCCAAAGATATAAAACAGAAGAACCTGAAAACTAGCCGACGAAAAGGACTCATCAATTACTATAAGTATTACTACCTTTATTTAACCAGGAAGTCCCACTGAGATTGGTAGCAACCAATTAAAACCCATTAAAATGCAACAAATACAACATGTAACACAAAAATCTGCTCTTTGGGAATGAGACTGTTGGTTGGACAAAGTAAGATGTCATCCTGGGCTTTAGGAAAGTGTGATGGACATTTTCTCTACATACTGACAATAATACACCAAATGATTATTTGAAAAAATACCAAGCAGATTAATCAATAAGGAGAATAATTGTTAGCTGCAGCCGTGATTGTAATCAGTAATGAAATGAGAATGCCATAGCTGCACAGACAAATGTCAGGGATTTGAGCCATGCTCTATTCTCCTTAGTAACTCCATAAGTTGCTGGTGATGAGAGTGTGTGATAAACAGCTAAATATAGCTCCGCATAAATTGTGTCGGAGCAAAAGAGTCATCAGCGTCGTATGAAGTCATCCTGTCACTGCTGTAAAAAAAGATGTTGGTGGTTTTCTTGTTCAAGGATTCATCTGTTTGTACTCACTGCGTCTCTAGACTATTATGGTCCTGACTGAAGGAACGAAGCAGGAACATAAAATAAGATCAGACCTCACACTCAAGAGCACAAAGGAGCAGAACACAGAATAACGCTTTCTCAATGTTTACTTCCTCCCCTGTAGATTTAGAGCTAAACCGTGATTTTAACGGCGAGGACTATGAATATGAAGACGAGGCCAAGCTCGTCATTTTTCCAGACCACTTCGAGATCCCCTTACCAAATATTGAGGAGTTGCCCGCTCTGGTCAGTGAGTCTCGCTGCACGGGCTCTTGTGTGTTTCCATGCATGTTGGTGGGAGAGGGTGCGCTCAGTGGTTCCCTTGTCACTGAACAGACAGCTTGATCGTTCTTGTTTTGAACAGGGTGTCTACAGGTCCTTGAAAAGTCTTAAAATGTCTTAAGATAAGTTTTCTTAATATAAGGCTTTTAAAAGCCAAATTGTTGGGGTTTTTCCTTACTGTTCATTTTGAACTGACATCAGTGTATTTACTTGGAAGTACTTAAACATTTGTGTCACACCAATATATTTAACTTATTCCTTTGTTTTTCATGACCACTTATCCTGTTAAGGATTGCGTGGAGCTGGAGCCTATCCCAGCTGACACTGGGCAAGAGGCGGGGTACACCTTGGACAGGTTGCCAGACTATCACAGGGCTGACACATAGAGACAGACAACCATTCACACTCACATTCACACCTATGAACAATTTAGAGTCATCAATCAACCTGCATGTCTTTGGACTGTGGGAGGAAGCCGGAGTACCCAGAGAAAACCCACGCTGAAACAGAGAGAACATGCAAACTCCGCACAGAAGGGTTCCTTCCTGGGTTCGAACCAGGAACCATCTTGCTGTGAAACGACAATGCTAACAACTGCACCACAGTGTCCTTGGTTATGCCTGTAGACACCCTGCTGCACCCTGCTGCAAAGCCTGAATCCATTCATTTTAATTTGAGTTTGATTGTCACAAATTTTTAACTTGGCACTTGAATATATAATATATTTACTGTTTCTAACCTCTAGTCGCTGTTAGTTTATTTAAAAGTTTCCATTTGGATGTATTTTTGTGGAAGATTTTGCTATTCTTATAGGCTGCTCTCTGCCAAGTGAATATTATGGGGAACCACTGGATACACACACTGTGCAGGTGTTGCTTTTAGCTTTGTATTTCTTTTCTTGCCTGGAGTCCAGAGGAGACATTTTACTCCTGTTTTAATTTGTTTTGTTTTTTTGAGTATGAGATTCTACAGTGAATGAGGTTTTGTGTTGGCATGTCATGGGGTTTAATTTTTCAAATTATTTTACGCATGTATCATTAAATGTTGTGAGTGCTGACCACCTATCCTATTTTCAGTTTGTTCTGCACGCTTTGTCTCTGCGCATAGAGACACCCTGTCTTCCTCTGCTGGATCCATCACTTTATGTGGCACAGCTTCACAATGTCTTGCATAGATCTTGCATTCCTGCGCTATTGCCCTTTCTTTTTACTGTTATTGATGACTTGCATTTAAAGGGACAGTTCACCCCAAAATTTAAGAATACTTATTTTTCCTTTTAGCTGAAGTGCTGTTTATTAATCTAGATGTTTTGGTGCGAGTTACAGAGTGTTGTAGATATCGGCCGTAGACCACAAACCTTGTTGTGAGCAGTTTCATATTGGAACTATTTTCTTTCTACCAAACTACACCCGCCAACTGTATCATTGCGCAGAGGAAAATGTGTCTAGTCAGGGACGAGAGACTCGCAAATATTAATGGCGTCCTCCTCAGTTGAGCGTAATGTTAACTAGCTCAGTGGTGCTAGGTGATCTAGTAGGAGATGCACGCTTTCGTCTGCATGGTGAAATGATTGGCAGGTGTAATTTGGTGGACAGGAAATAGTTCCTACATAAAACTGCTCGCAACAACGTCTGTGGATTATTTTGAGTAACCGGGTCATGATTTCTGGAGAGAGACACTTTGAGTAGCACAAGCCGAGTGTCATCTAGTTACATTATATTCGAGAAGGCAGAATATTTTAACACTCTGCAACTCACACAAAAACAATCCAGACTGATAAACTGCACTGCAGGTACAGTAAGAGGAAAAATATGTATTTTTGATTTTCGAGGTGAACTGTCCCTTTTCAAAGTGACCCCAATTAACCCCGCTTCCAGAAGTTCATTCTCTCTCTGCTTGATTTCTGTGATGCTCAGGTGACCATCGCCTGTGATGCAGTGCTCAACGCACCATCAGCCTACAAGAAGCAGGAGCCTGAATCCTGGGAGGAGGAGATCCAGGTGTCCAGACATGCCAGGAGCCTCAGACAGCTGGATAATGGGGTCAGGATCCCACCCAGGTAGGAAACCACTGCATCATTTATAAAGCAAGACTTAATTACATTTCTAGGCAGCTATTTACACGACTGCATTACTGTGTCTCCTGCTGTTTGCCTTGTTTATCCAGACTGTTAATATTCAAAATATAAATCCAATCATTTTTCCACCTGCTTGTGAGCAAAGTGCAGTTTTTAAATCATTCTGTGAGTCTTCACATGAAAATAAAAGCAACACAACAGAAACAGTCTCTGTGTCTTTCTCTGTCAGTGGCTGGAAGTGTCAGAAGTGCGAGATGAGAGAAAACCTGTGGATGAACCTGACAGATGGAGCCGTGTACTGTGGGAAGTGGTTCTTTGATGGGAGTGGAGGAAACGGTCACGCTCTGGAGCACTACAAAGAGACCAAATACCCCCTGGCTGTCAAACTGGACACCATCACTCCAGACGGAGCAGGTCTGAGACACCCAACGTGGTTATCTGAACTGTTGAATCCACAATCTGAGTTATTACGTAGTGTTAGTCAGTTAGTCAGCGTCCTTTAAATTGTCTTTTGGCAAAGTTTTACCAGAAAATATGTGTCTACGAAAAAAAACAGGTCTATTTTAGTGATGTAACTTATCCTTTGGTTTCAGATGTCTACTCATTTGAGGAGGAGGAGGCCGTGTTGGACCCCCACATATCAGATCACTTGTCACACTTTGGAATAGACATGCTACAGATGCAGAAAAGAGTAAGTTGTCTGAGCTGTGAACAAACAAACAAAAACCAAAATGTGAGGCTTCCACAGTGAAGGTTTCACACAGCTCTTTTTGTCTCCCTTCAGACAGAGAATGGCCACCACACAGACAATAACGCCCGGCCGCGGGTCAGTGAATGGGAGGTGATCCAGGAGTCGGGCATGAAGCTGAAAGCGGTGTTTGGCTCTGGTTACACAGGCATCAAAAACCTGGGCAACAGCTGCTACTTCGGCACAGTGATGCAGATCCTCTTCAGCATCCCTGACTTCCAGAGGATGTGAGTACACACAGTTAGCAAGAATATGTTTTCATCTTAATTATTTAACATGCAGACTATTTTTTACATTATTCATACACAGTATATTGTAGCGCCTATATCAGAGCATAAATAGGCCATGTTTAAGGAGTGATTTCATTGGGTGTTTTAATGTCTCAACTCTACAATACTGAACACCATGGGCCCTATTAAACACTCTACAGTGCGTGGTCCAAAGTGCACAGAGCAAGTGCATTTAGGGCATGTCCAACACCACTTTTGATAGTTAAACGGAGCATAGTCTGGGCACAAAGTAAGGCACAAGGTGTAGAGGGGTTGCATTAAGTCCCTTAATTAATCATAGGTTTGTTTTGGGCAAACATGAATTTAACCAATCAGACTGACAGGTGCTCCTGCAGCTGCTACATTGATAGTTACATGGCGCAGTAGACCAGGTTTTTGCTGGTCAATGGCATAATCTCTTGCTGCTCCCTCAAAATAGCAGTTCGCCAACAATGCAACAGACCACACCTCATTTTAAGACCTGCACGCCCATGGGTGCACAGATGGGTACATGTGCTACTTAACAACATGGGCGCTGGCTGGCCATGAAAATGACAACTGAGTCTGAAACTAGCAATGACAGTTGCTAGCTGTGCGCTGCTTTGTGTCAGGTAAGATCAGGCCCTGGGCCTTTGAACCTTCAGTACTATAACAATAAGAGGTTGAAAAAAATACTCTAAACACAGCATACATAAATGAATAAAATATTTTTACAGATATTAGATTTACTGGCAGGTATAGCAGCATTTGTGAGCTACTGAACAGATCTTGAAACCGGCATTTTGGTAAGTGAGTTTCTAAGCACGAGAGACGCCTAACAAGAGGTTCAGTAGGCCAGACAATTTTACAAAGTATGCCAGTCACTGATAAATGACATCAAGCAAAAGAAACTGGAGTTGCCATTTTAAACAAACTCACATGGAGATGAAGGACTTTATAATATGACCCGCTTTTGTAATTTCTTTTGCAATACTGCTTGTAATTACTGATGGTAATCTATAATTATGTTTGTTTGTTGATTGTCTAGCTCAGGATTAGGTATACATGTAATAGTAATACTTTTCTGGGAACGTCTTTGGTTATTTAAATAACTGATATGGCCCCCAGCAGATGGTGTTAGTGTCTTCATTGTGCCAACTTGTGTGTTTCCAGTGGTCTTATGTCTTTGTGATGTAACCATGTGCTCCATCTGAGGTGAGCGTGTGACATGTATTTTGATCTTTAGGTATGTGGGTAATCTTCAGAGGATATTTGACTATTCACCTCTCGACCCCAGCCAGGACTTCGCCACACAAATGTAAGTGACTCCAGTGTTACATAATGCAGTGTTAAGATACGCAAAACAAGTGAAGGTGTTTTTCAGTTGCTGCTGTGGTTGAAAAATGGCTAAGGTTTTGTTATGAGTTACCAACTTCAAATTTGTATCTTTATGATTACTCTGCTGTTTTATAAGAGGCAAAGTTTTGTCAATGACACTTCATTAAGATAATAAATGCATATTCAGTGGGGTGAAAGCCTTTTTTCTGCATCTTCTGGAAAATACTTGTCATATAAGCCAGTGTGTTGCAAGAGTCCAGTCAGGTGCTGTGGTCATGATGAAAGCAGAATGTTAGCCAGGCAGGTGACAAATATCAGATACTGTATGTGAAGCAACAAATGTTTCATATTCTGAGGCACAATGCCAGATAAACATGTTTATTCTCACCACTGCTGGTACTTTACAGCCTGTCAACAAAAACCAGGCCATTCAGAAAGAGAATCTGTGTCTCCAAATGTGTCGAGCCTGGACTGATTAAACATGACCCCTCTCTTAAAAACACTGAAGGCAAAGCATTAAATAAATTTGACTTTTTCTTGGACAGGTAGGATTATCCTAATTAACTGAAAATATTACTCTGTATTTACCTCTACATAAATAAGAGCGTTCAGGAGAAGATTCCTGTAGAACTCTTTCCAGATGCGTATGAAAGGACAAGCTGTCGCAGTAAGCATGGAGCCCACACTGTAACTAACTGCACTACCTGAAGAAATATTATCATATTTTTGGGAAAATGAAACCGTGATTCCAGAGAGAAGCAGACAGAGGGGTCTACAGTCTGTGTTTGAAGGATATATCCAGGATGTCAAACTGACTCAGCAGCAACAACAGGTTAAAAAGACAAAGATAGTTAGAAGCTAAAGCCGAACTATAGGCTACAGATCACAGTGTAAAAGTGAACCACCACATCACTGCTGATCGCCACA